TTCAGGTTGAGTGAGTTCAAGGCCAACCTGGGCTACCCGAAATCCTGACTCAAAATAATTAAGTGGTGGTGCACGCCTTTAATTCCAGCACTTGAGAGGCAGTGGGTGGATCGCTCGAGAGCTATATACAACCTCTGGAAATCAATCATTCACAGATGGGTGGAAATAAAATTGGGGGAGGGTGCCAAAGTCTTGTGGTGCATTGTGTCCCACAAAGCCCACATGGTCTCCCTCCCTCCCGGAGCCCAGCCCTCAGTCCTGCTGCAGACACTCTCACCTCAGCATCTTTCCAACACTTTCTCCAGAACCCTACATGGCTCCCGGTCCTTTGCATCTCTCCTCCAGTATCACCTCCAGGAGGCCTTTTCTGCTCATTTCTCACACTTAGTCTGCCTCCCTCCTGGAGAATGCCCACCGCTCTCCCTGGCACCAGTCTTCAGCATCTAGCCCCTTCTTTCCCTGCTGTGCCCCCAGCACCTGGCGAGTCTGCTACGATGGAGGAAGGGCGGTGCACAGCCTCAGCCTGTCACTCTCCTTTCCCACAGGTCTCCCATGTCTTCACTGACTTTGGCAAGGGCATCCGCTATGTGTCTTTTGAGCAGTATGGAAGAGACACTCGTTCGTGGGTGGGACGAACTATGGTGCCCTTGTGACCCACTCCAGCGTGAGGGTCAGGATCCGTCTGTCCTAGCCGTGAGCCCTTCGGGACTTCCAGGACACACCGCCTTCTCCTACATGGTGTTAAAGTCAAAGGTGGCTTTGAAGCCCCCAGCCTGAGCTACAGTTAGACCCTGTCAAAAAAACAGAACATCCAACAGGCCAAGCTCAGAGTCATAACAAAAGCTACTTACAAGTAGACAGGTTTTTATTTTTTATTTTTTTATTTTTTTTGATTTTTGATTTTTGGAGACAGGGTTTCTCTGTATTGCTTTGGATCCTGTCCTGGCACTCGCTCTATAGACCAAACTGGTCTCCAACTCACAGAGATCCGCCTGCCTCTCCATCCCCAGTGCCAGGATTAAAGGCGCCACCAACGCCCTTCGAGACAGGTTTTTTTTGTTGTTGTTTTTCGAGACAGGGTTTTGCTGTGGCTTTAGAGGCTGTCCTGGAACTTGCTCGGTAGACCAGGCTGGTCTCGAACTCACAGAGATCCACCTGCCTCTGCCTCCCGAGTGCTGGGATTAATGGCGTGCGCCACCAACGCCTGGCTTTCGAGACAGTTTTTAAAAACAAGATTTATTTTAATTGTGTCAGTGTGTGGATGTGTGCATGTGAGTGCAGGGATCCAGAGGGAACTGGAGTTACAGATGATTGTGTGCCACACATCATGGGTGCTGGGAACTGAACCTGAGTTTTCTGAAAGAGGCATTCACAATGATTTCTTTAGTTTGTGGAGACCAGTAGTCCTGAACCCTTTAATACAGTTCTTCATAGTGGTGACCTCCAACCATAAAATTATCTCTTTGCTACTTCAGAACTCTAATTTTGCTGTTATAAATGGCAATGTAAATATCTGTGTTTCCCGGTGGACTTAGGAGACCCTGGGAAAGGGGCATTCGACCTCAGAGGGGTCACAACCCACAGGCTGAGAACCACTTGTGTAGACAAACATGTCACAGTACATGTCGGGGGATCTGAGCCCAACTTGCAGGAGAAGGTTCTCTCCTTTAACCATGAGGATCCAGGGGATCGGTTCAGGTTGTCAGGCTTGTTGGCAGCCACCTTCACTCACTGAGCCGGCCGGCTCTCCAGCCCGGGACATGGTCTCATCTGCACATTTGGGGATGGGTTGGCTGCTTGCAGGGAACAGAAGTTAGCTAGGGCATTTGTCCTTGAAACCAACACGTTTCTACAAGGAAACTGATGTTCGGAGAAGTCTCAGATCCAGGGGTGCGTCTTGGCACCTATCCACCTGGGGACAACGCCCATCTTTCCTGCCCTGCAGCTCCTCACCTTTGCCAGGCTAGCAACAGTTCTCATCCTCAGAGGCCACTCCCCTCTCTCCTGCAGTCTCCCCTCCTGTAGAATTGCCTGGCACTGGACAGGCTATAGGGGAGGCTCCCCTAACACCTGCTCTAAATCCCCCAACTGCCCAATAAACTAGTGCTAAGGGGCTGGAGAGATGACTCAGTGGTTAGGAGTACTGCTGCTCTTCCAGAGGACCCAAGTTCAATTCCTAGTACAGCTCACAGCTGTCTATTACTCCAGGGGAATAGACATACATGCAGGCAAAAACACCAATGCACATAAAATATAAATGTGTGTGTGTGCCTGTGCGCATGTGTTAAAGGGGTTGGCAGATGGCTCAGAGGGTTAGCAGCACAAACTGCTCTTACAGAAGACCCAAGTTTGGTTTCCAGAACCACACCAGGCAGCTCACAACCACACGTAACTTCAGTTCCTGGGAGATTTGACACATCTGGACTCCAGGGGCAGCCACACTCACACACACACACACACACACACACCACATACATACACACACACACACATACACAATACCTAAAATTTTTCATCTTTTTTTTTTTTTTTTTGAGACAGGGTTTCTTTGTGTAGTCCTGGCTGTCCTGAAACTAGCTCTATAGACCAGGCTGGCCTCGAACTCACAGAAAATTTTTTAATCTTAAAAACAAAAATGGGTACTGAAGCAGAGGTCACAAGTCAGTGGTGGAACACTTGTCCAGCATGTGAAAGGCCCCATGTGTCCATCCCCAGCACCACATAAAGCGGCCTCCAGATTCAAGCCTGTAATCCCAGCGCTCAGGAAGATGGTTCAAGGCCATCCTCGGCTACACAGGGAGTTCCAAGCAGGCCTGGGATATATGAGACTTGGCCTCAATTAAGAAAATATGAGACTGCAGGTTTGTGTCTGCAAGCTGTGCTCCTGCCTGCCTCCAGTCCTGATACAGAAGTTCATATGGTCACGTGTGTACAACCAAAGACTAGCAAGAGGCTGTGTTGGTGCTAAGTATTGGAGGCAGGCTCCCAGGACCCCAACCAGTTTAGGTTTTGTTTTGTTCCATCGCCCAGACTGATCTCAAACTCAAAGCAATCCTCCTGCCTCAGCATCTACAGTGTAACACAAAAAGCAAAAGCCCAGAGACTTATGTTGGGGTTCGAGCTTCAAGCTGAAGATCAGAAAAGCGAAGTAGCAGGCCACTATTTCTTACTCTGCCTCAGGCTGAAAGGGTTGTCCTGTCTCCACGAGCTCTTACCAAGCCTCAGACTGCTGCCTCTCCTCAGCATGGCTGGAGAATGAATGCCAGCTCTGAGACCCTGTTCCTGTCTTAAATACCTCTCATGAATCCTGGAATTAAATGCATGAGCTCTGTTATTCTTTTACACGGATTCAATCTCGTGTAGCCCTGGGTGGTCTTGAACTCAGAGAGATCCATCTGCCTTTGTCTCCTGAGTCCTGGGATTAAAGGTGTGTGCCACCACTGCCTAGCTAGCTAGTATGGCTGCTAGGATTAAAGGTGTGTTATCACTCCTGACCTCTATAGCTTGTGGCTGGCTTTGCTTTCTGTATCTTCAAGCAAGTTTTAATAAACCATAAATAATATATCACCATACTATAGGACTGGAATTACAGGTGTGAGTCACCACCACACTTGACTGAAGGCTAGTTCTTAAGGATCCTTCCTCCAATGGCCATCTATTTAAGAGGGTCTCATGTAGCTGCCCCACAATCTGCTGTCACTAAAGACAGACTTAAACTCCTGATCCTCTTGCTTCCATCTCCCAAGGAGTGGGACTACAGGTGTGAACCATGGAGACTAGCTCCCATGGTTCTTTATCAATAAATGCCATGTAGCCCAGGTTACATTTGAATGCCTTGCTCCAGATTACCAGACAGGAACTCTGTGTGTGTGTGTGTGTGTGTGTGTGTGTGTGTGTGTGTGTTCAGATGTTTTTCTCCTGTCTGGCAGCTCCCAAATAACCACTCAGAGGCTTAATATTAATTATAAATGCTCGGCCCATAGCTCAGGCTTGTTACTAGCTATCTCTTACACTTATATTAACCCATATTTCTTATTTATGTTTTGCCACGTGGCAAATGAGGCTTGTACCTCATTTTCTATATGTCCTGCTTCCTAGGTGGCTGGCTGGGGACTCCTCAGACTCTGCCATTCCTCATCCCATCACTCTTAGTTTGGTTTTCCTGCAGAACTTTATCATGTTCAGCTATTGGCCAGTCAGCTTGTTTATTAAACCAATTATAGTGAGGTATATTCCCATAGTATACAGAAGGATTATTTCACAGTGTGCGTGCACACACACACACACACACACACACACACACACACACACACACACACACGTACAGGGCTGGGATCAGTTGAACCCAATAATGTGAGCACATTTCCTACAGCTTAAAATTATTATGTCCACACCCATGATCACGAAAAGGCCACATTACAACTGATGCCACCACTCAAGGCAAGAAACTGAAGGCCAGAGGCAAGGGATCCCAGGAGCTGGAGAGATGGCTCAGTGGTTAAGAGCACTTGCTATTCCTCCACCCTCCAGAGGATGAGGGTTTGATCCCAGGACCCACATCAGTGGCTCACAATCTCCAGTAACTCCAGTTCTAGAAGGGCCCCCACAAGCACTCACAGACACACAGATGGGTCAAAAAATAAGTTCCAGCAAACCCCTTTGCCCTGCCTCTTTTGAGAAAGGGTCTCACAGGCATGCACCACCACTCACTACCCATTTAACCATTTCAACACCCTTCCAGTATCAACCTGACCATTATTTGGCAGATGGCCACATCTGGGATGGGCCTTCACAGGGCCTGCACCCCTCTCAGTGCAGCAAGAACCCACACCATCACCACCCCCCCACACACACATGTGCTAAGCATGTAGAGCATCTGGCTAATAATCTTCAGCACCTAGAACAGTCCTCTGTCAGTGAACTGTCCTCTTTAAGAGGGACTTCGGTGCAGAGAGATCAGCATTTGCAATCACAGCTGGGGACAGACACTGCACCAGGGGTGACACCACAACCTGCAGATGTGTTTATTACAACGCCCATCCCAGCAATGTGATGTCCCGCCTGAGGACCATGGAACATGGAAGCCAAGGGAACGCAGAGGGGTGCTTGCTTCCAATTAACCTCCAGAACTCTTGCAGATTAATACAGTCTTGATGAGTTGGAGTTTGAACCCAAGACTAGCTGGCCCTGGAGCAGGAAGAACTGGTTTCCGAGGACTATGGATTATGGTCACTTCTTCTTTTGCACGTGGCCACAGTCATACTTGCCCCTCAAAACCTTGAGTTTAACTCCAGGCAGGTCTTGGGTGCGACCGCCTTCCACGAGGACCACGTGGTGCTCCTGGAGGGTGTGGCCCTCCCCGGGGATGAAGCAAACAGCCTCTTTGCCTGTACTGAGGCGCACTCGGCAGCACTTGCGGTTGGCAGAGTTGGGCTTCTTTGGCTTTCTGGTGAATGTGCGTAACACCACACCCTTCAGCTGTGGCCGGCCTTCGGTAGGACCCAAACGCTTAGGAGGTTCCTTCGGGCGGCCTAAGCGGTGCATCTGGTTGAGGGTGGCCATGGATTGTGTGGCCCAGAGCTGGGGACCTAGGGCCAGGCCTGGAGAGACACAACAGGGTCTACTTGGTTTCCATGTTCTAGGGAGGGATCCAAGCCCTTTACTGCTGATGTCTAGAGGTATTTAGTGTGGACAGATGATTCAGTGTTTAGAAGCACTGTTGCTCTTGCAGAGGACAGGGTTCAATTCCCAGCACCCATGGTGGTGGCTCACAACCATATGTACCTCTAGTTCTGAGGGATCTGACACATGCATGTAATACCCTTACATACATGCAGGGAAAACAGTCATACTGGGGCTGAATGATGCCTCAGTGGTTAAGGGCAATGGTTGCTCTTACAGAGGACCTAGGTTCAATTCTCAGCACCCACACAGTGGCTAGCAGCCATCTTTAACTAGAGTTCTAGGCATCCCATGACCTCGACTGGTCTCTGGACACTGCACATAGATGGTACTTATATTCATACAGGTAAGACTCTCACATACATAAAAAAGTAGAGGGATCTAGAAATAGTATTATCAACAGCTAACCTTTAGTATCAAACCCACAATCATATAGAACTATTCCTATACACTTTAAACATTTCGCATAAGCTGAGCATGCTGGCAAAGCCAAGCCTTCTCAAAGACCCCACCCAACCTGTCATTACTTCCCACTCCCCATTGGTTCCTTGTTCAAACTGCTCTAGCCTGGGTACCTTAAAAAACAAAACAAAGGGGCTGGGGAGATGGCTCAGAGATTAAGAGCACTGGCTGCTCTTCCAGAGGTCCTGAGTTCAATTCCCAGCAACCACACGGTGGCTCACAACCATCTATAATGAGATCTGGTGCCCTCTTCTGACCTGCAGGGACACACAGACAGAACACTGTGTACATAATAAATAAATATAATCTTAAAACAAACAAACACCAAATAGACCACCGCAGCTGCAGTGTGATACAAGGAAAGGCAGATGGAAATGCTTGGAGATGTCTTTTCAAGGCAGACCAATAAGATGTATTTGTGGAGCTGGAGAGGTGGCTCTGTGGTTAAGAGCACTGACTACTCTTACAGAGGACCCAGGCTCAATTCCCAGCACCCACATGACAGCTCACAACCATCTGTAACACCAGTTCCAGGGGATCCGATGCCCTTCACAAACATGATGCACAAATATATGCAGGCAAAACTTAGTACACACAATATCGAACACTTGGAAAAGACAAAACAGTGTCTCACTAGGTAGCTCTGCCTATCCTGGAACTCTTTGTGTAGACCAGGTTGGATAGCAAATATCTGGGTGAATGAAATCCCCAATACCTCCCACAAGACATTGTGCACAACACCTGATTTCTGGGTAATGTCTAAAAACATGAGTTCCTCCCCACCAGGAGGAGGCACATCTTAGACTTAAAAAATAGCAATTGAATGAATGGCTAAAATTCCCGGCTTGGGTTTGTCACCCATTGAAGGCCATCAATAGACACTTGCCGAAGGAAAAGACACAGTAGTGAGACGCCCAACCGGTGAACATTTGTTGGCAAGACTGTTGCGTGAACATCAGAGTGTACTTACACAAACTGAGACATAGTATCACCGGGCAATACAAACGCAGGGATTCACCACTATCTGTGACTATGATT